GAAGCGTCTTTGAATATCCTGAAAAGCGTTATATAAAAACAAATGCATTTTTATGATATTCAACTATGCCTTCTGTCTTGACACATGAATAAATCATTTGCATTCCTCTACTGTAGAACACAGGTATATTTCCATAATAAAAGGGCATTCAGATTCCCCTGCTCTCCTTTTTTCTCACATTGTACCTGTTCTTTATGAATTATTCAAAAAGGTGACAGAGCAGAAAAGTTGTTGGCCACCATGTGTCGTCTCTGCGGCTTCAGCTCTGCAGCGCGGACATAAGGGCCGTTTGTGATATTTATAATGATTGCAGAGAAAAGCGGAGCAGTGAAGTGGCCCGAGGCACAGCTCTCAGCCTCATGTTCCGTGTGGCCCTGTGCCCCTCACACCTGCCCCAGTCATCAGGAGCTGTCTATAATGAAACACCCATCTGCTCAACAAACATCACCCACACACAGGGAGGAGATAAGAGGCAAGGCAAATCAAGTTTATTTGTATAGCACAATTTCATACACAGTGCTGAACAAAATAAGATTACAATCATAGATAATCACAGTACATTAAAAAAACAGATATAAATTGTGCACAGTTGTATGCACAGCTAAACAGAACTGGTTTTGACCTGGTTTTAAACATTGTCAGAGAGGAGGCCTTTCTCACACTTTCATGAAGATTGTTCCAGATTTTAGCAGCATGAATCTGAAATGCAGCCTCCCCATCATTAGTTCTGACTCTGGGCACTAACAGGAGTCCAGTCCCTGTGCTCCTCAGAGTCCGGGCTGATTCGTATGGTACTAACATGTCAATAATATATTTTGGTGCGAGGTCATGGAGAGACTTGTACACAAGCAGAGCTGTTTTAAAGTCTATTCTCTGAGCCACAGGAAGCCAGTGCAGAGACCTGAGGACTGGACTAATGTGGTCGTACTTCCTGGTTCTAGTCAGGACTCGAGCTGCTGCATTTTGAATGTACTGCAGCTGTTTTACAGCCTGTTTGGACAGACTTGTGAGCAGGCCATTGCAGTAGTCTAACCTACTGGAGACAAATGCATGGATAAGAATCTCCAAGTCTGTTTTAGACACTATGTTTTTGATCCTGGCAATGTTTTTTAGATGGTAAAACGCTGCTGATGTTACTGATTTGATGTGGCTATTAAAATTTAAGTCTGAGTCCAGTATTACCCCTAGATTTCTGACCTTGTTAGAAGGTTTTAGGGAGAGGGACTGTCAGTGACAGATGACGCTCTCTCTTTGTTTCTGGGGACTAAAGACAATCATTTCAGTTTTGTCTGCGATTAGCTGAAGGAAGTTGTTTTGCATCCACCCACTGATCTGTTGGATACAGTCAAGGAGTGAGTCCACTGGTCCATGTTCTCCTGCAGTCAGTGAGACATAGATCTGAGTGTCGTCTGCATAGTTGTGATAGGACACTTTGTTTCTGCGTATTAACTGACCTAACGGCAGCATGTAGAGATTGAACAGAAGAGGTCCCAGGATCGACCCCTGTGGTACTCCACAGGTCAGGGCCATATGATCTGAGACACAGTTTCCAATCTCCACAAAGTACTTCCTGTCTTCAAGGTAAGACCTAAACCAACTTAGGGCGGTGCCAGCGACGCCAACCCAGTCCTCTAGTCTCTGTAAGAGGATCTCATGGTCGACAGTGTCAAAGGCAGCACTTAGATCTAACAGGATTAGGATTGAGACTTTGCCTGTGTCAGTGTTCAGCCGGATATCGTTTGTAACCTTAACGAGAGCAGTCTCAGTGCTGTGGTGGGGTCTAAAGCCGGACTGAAACATATCAAATGAGTTGTTGATTATAGGAAATCTAGTAAGCTGTAGGTAGACAACTTTTTAAAGGATTTTCCCCATAAATGGCAGATTTGAGATGGGACGATAGTTGTTCAGTACCGTAGCATCCAAACTGCTCTTTTTTAGCAGGGGCCTGATGACTGCAGTTTTCAGGGCCTTTTGGAATATTCCAGAATGAAGGGATATGTTTACCATCTGTGTGAGTGAAGGTAACAGACTGCTAAGAACAGACTTCAGAAATCTAGTGACTGGAGATTATCTGGAGATTATCTCTTCGACAGTTTTATCATCTACAAGTGCAAAGTGAGTTAGCTCAGAGAGCCTTTCTGGCTGTTGGAGATCATATTCCACTGTCTCTTTTCATCAAATGCACCTTTACAAGTCCAAAAATGTAACCACGGCCTTAATCTATTACAACCAAATAAACATAGGGAAAAAATGTAATGGTTAACTTTAGTGCGAAAAAGTTCTGTTAACTGCATTGGTTTCCTCCAGGTGCTACGGTTTTCCCTACCACTAAAACATGTACTATAGCTGCTCTCTCTCTCTCTGCGGCCAGGACTCCGAGTTGAATTTCCTTGCTTACGAAAAAAAAAAAAGGAAAAACAAATGGATATGTGTGTGGTACTGCTCTAACACATATATGAACTTGTTAATACGTATTATTTATATGTTATTTATATATTGACCATTTCCATCTTGGATTATTTATAATTGAAATGCCACGTTGGGTTTTATGTTACATACATTACCAACACTGGGTTTGATTCCACCTCCAAACTCCCAGTGTCTGCGTTGGTTTCCTCCGGATGCTCCGGTTTCCCCTACCACCAAAAACATGCACAATAGGTCTGAATGTAATGAGTGAGGGAATGGGGCTTTGATCACTATGTGGAGAGAATGGAAAAAAATCTGAAATCTGAACATCGTAAAGAGCTTTAGGTGACCTGATCGGCCTGTAAAATGCGCTTTATAAATAAACATTACTACTTACATTACTTACAAGTACATCTATTTCTGTAATTCAACTTATAATGACAGACCAAAATATGAAAAAGACGCAAAGTAAAGATGTTTTGTTTGGGGTTTTACAAGCTGTGAGCTATTTATCTTCACAATAACAAATAAATACTTGCTTTATCCTAATGTGTGTGTAATGAGTTTGTTGATGGTGATGGGAATGAGACGGTTTCATATACATCCAGTGTGTATGGAGTTATTTTTAAACACACACATACACACATAGATAGTGGAGCAGAGTCGTACGCCCACAAACCCCTGAAAAGTTGAAACAAAAGGGTCTCGGATTACGCTCACCCCACTCAGCCATCTGCTGCACGACATCTCTCAAACTTATTCCAACAATTATTCTCTTATTTTCTGAGCTACTTTTCTGAAAAAACTAGATGCAGATTCACTGTCATTTTCCGTTTTGTGAAGATGTCTTACACTTTCTGAACACAAAGTTGCATCACATCGTCATCGATTCAAGTGGAGAAAAGACGAACTCCTCTTTGTCATACCGAATAATATGGCACCTTTTTTCCTCGAACGGCGCCGTGGCAGCCGCCCGCCATATGCTCTGGGCGTTCTCTTTAAATGGATTTACTTAACAGCTGCAGGCCTCGCTGACCCCCATTGATCCAAAGACATTTAGCTGGCAGTGCGCTAACTCCTTGCCTCCTGTTTTGCTTCAGACAAATACTTAAAGTTGCATTGACAATGTCCTAGCGCTGGAGAAGGACTGGCATCACGTGACCTATTAAAGCTGAGGTACGTGACTTTCAAGCCACAACAATGCAACTATGTAATACTCCCTAACTATGTCCAGGCTCTAAAACAGTATTTTTAATTTTTAATGATTTTATATAGCGTTTTCTTTGGATACTCACAGATGCTTGACATGGCATTATTGATTCCCTCCCTACACGGTGGTGATAAACTACTGTTGTAGCCACAGCTGCCCTAGGGCACACTGACAGAAGCGAGGCAACCAGTCTGTGCCGTCAACCCCTCCGATCGCTGCCAATCACTCACACACACACCAGATCCATTCCAGGCAATGTGGGTGAAGTGTATTGCCACTGTTGCCAGTTTGGAACGCCTGAGGTCTCCCATCACAGTACTAACCAGGCCCTGACCTGCTTAGCTTCAGAGTGACAGGGTCTGGCTTTTACATTTAGGCCTCTATCACATAACAGAGAACACGTTTACTAATAGGATGTTGTCGTCTGATTTGTTCACAACATTTTACTTTTACAAAACTCTTTCTGTTGGGACAAAGTACATGGATTATTTATGTGCCAAAAAAAGTTAGGTACAGCAGCTTTAAATCACATCAGAACTTGGCCTGGAGCAAAGTAAGCAGAAGGAGAGTGCAGATGTTTTCATAGCCGTGTTGTCTGAGAAAACAGTGGATTTCACGGCTTCTGAAATGGGCAGAATATTTAATATGTTTCTTCCCTGGCTGCACCTGTTGATTGTTGACGACTAATCCATCTTTTGTGGAGCCGCGGTGGAAGTCTCACTCTGTAATTGAGAGAAGTCTGTGTTTCGATGCAAATCCTGTTTGTGGGAGCGTTAAGGAAGAAATATAATGATTTATTTTTGGCCATTAAAATGATAATGAGACTGTTTACTTTGTTTAGAATGTTGAATAATATCATAAGTAGAAGGTATAGGGTGAAATAAGGTTAATAATGCCGTATCTCTTTGCTGCCACCAGAGGGAGATGTATAATCGAATTGGATTTTTTTTTTTTCAAATACCAAAATGACCAGCTGCAAACACATCCACGTGGTTATATAAAATGTAATTTTGCGTGAGATATTGCCAAAACTAGTTTATGGACAATACTTTTGTTGTAAAAAAGCTGGAACCTTCTTTGGGTGGGATGGAAAAATGACACAATTATTATTAAATTTGTCAAAATAATGTCGCAACAAAAATAAAAAAGAAACATATTTACACAGTTCAGGCTGATGGCACTGATTCTGAAATTATACTCTTACAAGACCGACATGAGCATTTAGACAGAAGGGGCGGAGCTACACGTGCCAGATGTTCCTTGTTATGGATGGATGGATCTAAAAAAAAAGAACAGATCCAGATTGATTTTTCCGAATACTATGTCTTATTTAAACGAAAAGAATAACAGATTGACAGAGTGTCGTGTTTGTCTTGCGCAGGTGAAAGACGACACGCAGCAGCCGCAGATGGTGTTCACGGTCCGCCACGCCACCGTGACCTTTCAGACCGACGGCGACACGTGGCGTGAGCAGAAGGAGAAGAAGGCGGCCCTCATGGTGGGCATTTTGATCGGGGTCTTCGTCCTCTGCTGGATCCCCTTCTTCATCACGGAGCTGATCGTGCCGCTGTGCTCCTGTGACATTCCGCCCATTTGGAAAAGTATCTTTCTCTGGCTGGGATACTCTAACTCCTTCTTCAACCCGCTGATCTATACGGCCTTCAACAAGAACTACAACAACGCCCTGAGGAACCTCTTTTCCCGCCAGGGTCGCTGAGCAGCGCGCTCAGTGGAGACAATAATGTGAAAAGATTTACAGTATATGCGGCAAGACGGAAAGTTCATCGACAGGAGGTAACCCTTTAGGCGCCCAATGAACTCCAGATTCCAGGACACTTTCTCTACAATTGTTTTACCATTCAATTCAATTCAATTCATGATTGAGTGGCCCTAAATCACAACAACAGACCTGGATGAGTCTTCTGCTGCTGGACACATGAATTTCTCCTACGTGGGATCAATAAAGTATCTATCTATCTCTGAGTACTCCACAATACAGTACTGAGTACTCCACAATAATTTGCCGACACAGATCAGAGAATCAAGACACGTCATTGGTCCATAAGGGGCTGATGACCAATGTCCACAAATTTTGATAAAGTCCATAAATGTCGTTGAATGTTGAGTGTCCTGGATCATCACCATCGTCGTCTATGTATTTATATAATTTATTGATATTTTGTCTGCTTCCTATCTATTTTCGGACAAAACTCTGGCGCCTAAAGGGTTAATGTGACTAGTTTTGACTGGTTTATCAACGTGGATGGATCTCAATTCAATGTTGTGTTTTTTGTTGTTCTTATACTTGTTTCAAAAGATTTCAGTTCAGAGCGAAAGATTTGGCCAAGAGGGAAGAACAGGTCACTTTGCAACAGGGAACATACAGAGCAAATATCAAACTTGTTATTTTTGTTCTCTCATCTAATTTTACCACTCAACAGGTGCTTTCATAATTGTGTATGTTAAGGTGTATTTTCTTAAAAACAGCAGAATAAGACTGCTCTCACTGTTAGTGCTCTCACCCACGAGTACACGCCCACTCTACATTTTGACACAAAGGGAAAAACAAAAATATCAGTGTGTTTTTGATCACCTTAAGCGGTCGGAAATCAAAGCTGAGGTATTATTTCCTTTTGATCAGATGATACAGACTGGTTGTTTTTACCTGATCTCTTTGGTTCCAATAATTACTGTATATGTTTGACTGATCTTTTAGTTTAATGGTTCTGTTTTAAGCCACAGGTGAAACTCAATGTATTTCTGTATTTTAAATCATAATGTGAAACCAATTTATGATAAAGACATATTACATGTGCATTTTTTTTCAAGCCGTGAGCCGATTATCAACATTATAACGAATGAAGGCTTGACATATCTCACGTTTTATGTCATGAGGGTCATATATTAGTTGCACATTGTAAATATAATATTGTTCAAAAGTAAATAGACTTTTGAACAATATTCTGAATGCATATATTTAACCTGAATACCAGGTGTAAATGTGTCATTCTGAGCAACATATTGGTCAATCCAACCAAAATCGGTTTAATCAATTCCATAATTTTTTTCTTATCAATTTGTTTTTAGAGGCGAGCTATACTTTAGTCAAATATGCGCAATATTTTGTCTTTATGCCGTCAATCAACATTGAGAACACTGATCAAATACAAGGTAGGAAATGCTAGAATCAAGTTGGTTTTATCTTAATTAAGTATAACGTTGACTGTCTTAAAACGAGATTCACCAATGGGACAAAAATAAGTATTTTTTCAAGGGTAGTGGCCATTTTTTTCAAAAAAAATTTAATGAGAATTGCCCTGTCTGTTTAACACATGCCTGTCCCATTGGGAAATTGTGTTTACAGACAAAATGTACCAAAATCAAGATCAAATGTAACTTTGCAGTGAAACAATTGAGTCATTGCAGTATAGTATTTGAATTGTAACACCAGCAGCACATCCTCCTGCCAAGTCCAGCACAGACAGATGAGGTCCGTCTGCATCATGGGCCTGGGTCTGTCTGCATCATGGGCCTGGGTCTGTCTGCATCATGGGCCTGGGTCTGTCTGCATCACGGGCCTGGGTCTGTCTGCATCATGGGCCTGGGTCTGCATCACGGGCCTGGGTCTGTCTGCATCATGGGCCTGGGTCTGTCTGCATCATGGGCCTGGGTCTGTCTGCATCACGGGCCTGGGTCTGTCTGCATCATGGGCCTGGGTCTGTCTGCATCACGGGCCTGGGTCTGTCTGCATCACGGGCCTGGGTCTGCATCATGGGCCTGGGTCTGTCTGCATCACGGGCCTGGGTCTGCATCATGGGCCTGGGTCTGTCTGCATCACGGGCCTGGGTCTGTCTGCATCATGGGCCTGGGTCTGCATCACGGGCCTGGGTCTGTCTGCATCACGGGCCTGGGTCTGTCTGCATCACGGGCCTGGGTCTGTCTGCATCATGGGCCTGGGTCTGTCTGCATCATGGGCCTGGGTCTGTCTGCATCATGGGCCTGGGTCTGTCTGCATCATGGGTCTGGGGAAGTGTGTGCGTGGGAAGAGCTCCGTGATGCATGTCGGTTCATTTGAGATTCCTGCTCTGAGCCCTGGACAGCTCTCTCTCTCCCTCTCTCTCTCTCTCTCTCTCTCTCTCTCTCTCTCTCTCTCTCTCTCTCTCTCTCTCTCGCTCTCTCGCTCTCTCGCTCTCTCGCTCTCTCGCTCTCTCGCTCTCTCGCGCTCTCTCGCTCTCTCGCTCTCTCGCTCTCTCGCTCTCTCGCTCTCTCGCTCTCTCTCTCTCTCCCTCCCCCTCTCTCTCTCTCTGTCTCTCTCCTTCTCCCTTTCGCTCTGTCTCTGTCTCCCTCCCTCTCTCTCCTCTCCTCTCTCTCTTTCTCACTCCCTCTCTTTCTCCCACACATCCAGCCTCTGCACAGCTGCTCCTCTTCTTGGAACTATTACAGAGGGAGAAGCTTCATTGTCTTGCGTTTCCCCGCGAGAGAGTGAATTTATGTCAAAACTAACACTTTATTTGAAGGTACATTTATTAAAGCTGGAGAACCTGACCTGTTTTCTTGGATTCATAAATGCATTGCGTTTGTGTCAAGAGATAGAGTTATATTTCATCTTTGTATAAAACCATGGATTTTTAAAGCCCAAACTGGCGAGAGTGACACAAACAATTATTGAACAAGAGGAGTAAATCAATGGGAGTCAGAAAGAGTTGGAGCCAAACTTCATTCATGAGCACTTCCCTATTGGGCTCCATTGAGATAGAGGGTTAGCATAATCCATCTATATACTGTACAGTCTGTGATAAATAGACAGTAATGCAGTTTATGAAGCGATTTGTTATAATAATAGTCTAATAAGTCAGGAAGTAATCATTTTTACAGACCCAGGTCACCCAAAGCACTTTACAATGTTCAGAGATACATAAGAAAATATCATTAATTTTGAACAGATTCTCTACTAAGACTAACTAATGCCACTCATCAGCTCGTCAGGCGTTAATAAGTGTACCCTAAATGTCTTTCTCTGCCCACATTCACAGACCTAAACGTTAAGTATCCAGGGAATGGATGAAAACCACAAAAGCATAAATTAGGCATCTGTCCGTATTCATACATCGATAATAATTAATTGTCGAGACTGTAACAGTACAAATGAAGAGAAGAGAAGTTATAATGTTGCTTTAAAAGGTTTTATCGGTTGTTTTGAAATCGTTGTGCCGTGTTCCGGACATTTGAACACCAGCAGTTCTCCGACGTCAGACAGGGCCGTGTGTCAGTCAACACACCTATACACTTTATCATTGTAGGAGTTTTATATACGAAATACCTCTGGTGGGAAAAGATCAGGATATAAAGTCGAGAATCCTCAGTGACTGTTATTTCAAAACAGATAAGATTAAAGAAATGTGTTTGCAATACTTTTTGGTTTTTGATTTATCTTTATTGATTTTGGTCTGTCTGAAAACAAGAGTTACCTATGAGACAAGCAAACATGCATTGTGTTATACCAGGGGAGCCAATTCTCACTTGAAATGAGAAAAAAAAAATCCTTATTAGAAGACTCTTGCTTGTCCCATTGGCAAAGCTTGTCTTAAAATGAATGTCAGTTACTTTTCCAATTGTAAAGAGGAAAGGACGCGCTGCAACTTCCTAATTGGTCGAAATGAATTCAAATCCTGGATGCACCTTGTCATTGGTTCAACAATTCTCCTCCAGTAAATCTTAGTGGTTGAAGTTATGCCAACGGGAGAGACTGTTTTGAATATATATTTGTTGAAAAATACGTACTGTGCACAATAGTACAAATTAAATACACTTAAAGTTTCTGACATCGCCTTTAAAGACAAGACAGACATTGTGTATTTGAATCAATTTGAAAAAACATTTTAGATCTCAGGGCTCTCAAGTAATATAAAGGGGGGGAACAAATTAAATATGCTAAGCTAAGAATTTTAAATCATAAATTATTTGCTGTTCAATGCAGAAGCACCATGATTTGTCTAAGAATTCAATAAATCTAAAAATATAGCCCTGTTTCCACCAGCCCTACTCGGCCCTACTCTACTTTGATTGGGAGCGTTTCCACTGTTCCTGTTTAACTGGTACCAGGTCATTTTTAATACCTACTCGGACCTAGTTCTATCTAAGCTGAGCGGGTACTAACTGGAAGCCATGGTTAGCATATCATTTCCTCCCGCTTCTGGGGAGGAATATCTGGTATATCTAGTAAAGCGTAATGGAAACACGGCCAGGTAGAGTAGAGCCGAGTAGGGCTGGTGGAAACGGGGCTTTTGTGCTGATAGTAACAGCTATCTGACGTCTGTTGCCAACTTTTTATTAATATTCTGCCAAACTTTTTGCACAAACTTCCCAAAATGACTGGATCTTTCGTCACATGAGCTGGCAGGGACAGAAAAAGCAGTAGCAGCCCCCAGTTCTCACGTCGCTCGCTGAGAGCTTTTCAAGTGTAAATTGTGACGTCCTCCTGCAGCTGGGGAGAGGGAACTCCCACCAGCTGCACTCCTAACATTGTTTTCCAGCCAATATTTCTGTCCCCGCTGTGTCTCCAGCTGTTCACATGCCGTGTAAAGTGCTGTTTGAATACATGCATGGATCCTAATGTTGTTTCGCTTTGAATCAAAAAAAGAACAAGCTTCGCTACAATGACCATAATGTCCCTTACCTTACCTCGTTATTTCCCCCGTTCTATTTTGTAACTTGCTGTAAAATTCTGTTCATTTATACTTTTGTACACTAATGATTATGTGATTATGGGTGTGCCCTTGTGACTGTTACAGTATTCTGTACTTTTTGTGTTCACTAATTTGGCATACCATGACAACCACCACTCAGCCTTTCATTCCATGTCTGTTGTATCTATCTACCTCATTTCTTACACTCTGATGTATTCAAGGTTATCACAAGTTGGAACATTGCATTACAGCTTATTTGCCACTGCATTGTATCACCAATTTAAGGAAAGAAATAGCTATGGATATGTTTAATCCTGGATAAATGCTTGTACTGTAGTGTGTCCAAACCTGTTGGTAAGAGGATAACTTCAGTGAATCGATTCAGCCTGGTCTGAGCTTTAACCTGCAGAATGACATTCAATTAAACTTATTTTTGTATAGCCCTAAAACACAACAGCAGTTGTCAATTGTCAATTCGCCAACGGTGAAGCTGAAGCTGGCTGAATGAAAAGTGGCGTACCTTCTAACCAGCATTAGCATACATTAGCACCAAAGGCAGAATTTTCAGCCACAATGAAAAATAAAGGATGAGAAAATAAAGCAATCAGAAATCAGTCAATAACTGGATTCAAAAGGGAACAGCCGTACAGTGGAGTATAGCATGCGTATATTGTCGGAGCTTAAGTTGGCTGGATGACACTGTGAGTAGGATCTCAATGGATCGTTTGGGTGAGCCATAACACGACTCAGAGGGCTGGACTTTGGACAATGCCTGTGATTAGTGAATATCAAGGGTTGCATATTATATTATAAGTCATTATGTGGAGTATGTTTCGCCTGATTAAAGGGCACTTAATGAGGAAGGAACAGTGTAATCAGAGGTTGGAAACATTCCTGACGTCATGTTCACAGCAGAGATGATAGAAATGCCACTTTTGACATTTCATTAAACATAATTTTACATAAACTACAGACGTACCAACAGTTGTGATGCTGCGTGGGCCTCAGCCTTCATTAGTTGCATGAACCTCTTTGACTTTGGGCGATAGTGTTGCGGAGGATTTTCTCATTTGAACAAATCATTCCCACTCCCAGGCATCTTCAGATCGTTTTCTGTTTCTCATGTCCCCACTCAGGAATTACAGCTGATGCCAGCGCACCCAATTACAGCTGAATAAAAGAAAGATGTATATATCATGTCATACTGCTGAAAATCACTGTTAACATTGAGGGATAAAATGTTCCAAATTTGTGTGTTGGTGTCAGTGTTGTTTGTGTGTGGCTTTCCTTGAGTGAAAATAAACAGCAGCTTAATTTGCATCGTCAAACACAAAGCATTTTGACAAGAAAACTTTGGGGAGGGGGGAGCAGCTCTGAGGTCGGGATGCCAAAACACAACGCTAGATCTTTGTTAGCACGCTGTCAAAGAGATGCGCAAAGGAGGGGGGCGTGAGACAGACTGCTAGCTTTAACGGGAATTTATTTTTAGGATCGTCATTGGCCACATTCTATAGGACATATTTTATTGCTGGCAAGAAAACACGTGGTCTGTCAGAGGGAGACAAGAGTCAGAGAGAGAGAGGGACACAAGAGGGACTGGATGGTGTTGTGAGGCGACAGACTGAGCGCGAGGCAATTGCAGATCGGCCAAACTAAACCCAGCTGCCTCCGGCGACAAAACCGGTGCCATGTTTCATCTGCAAATATAGCAACAGGCACGCAGGAGGAGAGAGTCAAAATAAACAGTCTGTGGGTTCAACTGCAAGTGGAGTGCAGAATGTATGGTATAAAGGGGCTCTATTTTAACAGTTCGATCATGGTTCTAAGAGTAAACAGGTCACCATGGTGGATTCGCAGTAGCAGAGTGGTTAACAGAATATGACAAAAATCTATGACGATCACAATAATCATTATAATAATAATACATTTTATTTCTTAGGCACCTTTCTTGACAGTCAAGGTCGCCTTACGTACAAGTAAAAAAGTGCATTTTCATAAACAGTTAAAATACAAAGTTAAAAGCATCAAGGACACAGGAGAGTGTGGTTATAATGTTAGTGAGTAGACTTGTCTAAACAGATGAGTTTTGAGGGTGGATTTGAAGAATGTGAGTGAGTCGGTGTTACGGAGGTCAGGGGGGAGAGTGTTCCAGAGCTGGGGAGCAGAGCGGCTGAAGGCTCTACTCCCCGTGGTGACGAGGCGGGCAGGAGGGACCAGGAGCTGGAGAGAGGAGGAGGAGCGGACGAGGTGGCCCTTACTCATGAGAGAGCGGATGTTCAGCAGCCTGAGTTAGCGCTAGAATTATAAACTGATTGAGGCTTTGTTTTGAATGGCAAGTCCACCAGTTTTTAATGTGTCTCTCAGTGAAGA